CACCTATAATCCCAGCAGCTCAGGAGGCTAAGACAGGAGGATGGAGAGTTCAAACTCAGCCTCAGCAAAAGAGAGGTGCTAAGCAAATCAGTCAGACCCTGTCTCTAAGAAAAATACAAAATAGAGCTGGGAATGTGACTCAGTGGTCAAATGCCTCTGAGTCCAATCCCCAGTACCCCCCCCAAAAAAAAAAAATTAAATGAAGTTCTAGATTTACGAATCTAAGAATATAAGTCTTATAGGCATCCAGGTGCCACCTAATTGAGCATCTGTTGGAACTTCAGCACCTTGTGGGCCTACAGCTGTTGGTGACACCCCAAAGAAGGGCCAGAGCTCCTGCATGGAGAACTTCAGGTCCTGCTGGGTCACACCACAGCCTTTTTCTACTTTTTCCATCTCCATTCAGGGGAAAGCTCATCAAGGAGAAGAAAGGTCCATGTCACAGGCAGTGTCCCGAGTCCCAGACTTCCTTGCTTTCTAACCCAGACTTGTCATTGCAATGACTCTTGTCCTTCTGGGGTTTCTAGGAGTTCTGCCCAGCACAGTGAGCTAGTCTTCTGGGGCCCAGTTCCCTGTCTTTCTGCAGTGTTTGCTGAGGAAAGTTTAAAGTCTCATTTATTTCATAGGCTTCCTCATGGTTAGAAGAACTCTCTGGAGGTGTACTGATGTATGTAGTGGCATGGTACCAGGGGCTGAGGACACAGTCCTCCCTGTAGGAGTCATGGACTGAGGGTGGAAGTTCCCATCGGTGTTTCCAAAGCAAAACACATTTAATAACTGGAAATCTAATGACATGTTAAGTGAAAAATAGGAAATAAAATATTATGCACAGAATTTTCTTAAATATGTTAACACACACACACACACAAATTGTAAATGGTGATTGTTTTCTGGTGGCTGAAAAATGAATGCTATTTTTTTCCCCTTCCTCGGGCTTTTCTGTTTCTCTTTGTGTGTGTGTGTGTGTGTGTTGGGGGAGGGGTGGCTACAGTCTGCTCAATTTCTCTTAGTCTTTATAACAAAGGGTTTTATAATTTCTCCTTAAGTTTTTTGATGGATGTTTTGAGAACAATCACTGCTCTCAGAGGAAAGGCATTTCATTGGAATACATACATCCATGGTAGAGACAAATGTACCTGATACAGTTGAGAGAAAAGCATTGGAACTATATTCTGGAGGCAGCAGTCTTATTAAAGTACAGAACATCAAAGTGATGTAGCTTCATCCATGAGTTTTAACTTTTTAAAGTGAATATTCTTATTCCAAAAGGATACATAGTCATTGTAAACAATGGAATGTAAATGTAAATAATAATCTAAATATACATAAACATAAAAGAGGAAAAGATGTCCCAACATCATTCCATTACCTAAGAGAAAAATAAATGCACTTTTAATATTTGGGTTTCTACATTTCCGATCTTTATTTCCCCTATACCTATGTGTTTGTATACAGACAAACCAAACCAATCTGTGGGAAACAAACCAAAACAAAAATTAGAGCTCACGATTTGCCTTCAGGAGTCTGAAACAGTGACACAAGGAGACACTGGTGTTTTTCTCCCCTTCCTCTGACTTAGGCTCTTTCAAATAAGGCAAGTTTGAGGATGGTCTGTTTAAGCGGCTTCTTTCCCTCTCTCCCTAACTATTGGCCAAAATTTCCAGTAGAGTGTGACTGGACATCTGGACATGTTGGACTGCAGTTCATTTTACTGGGTCTGCTGGAAAAAAAAATATGAGAATACACTGTTCATTTTTATCCCCTAAGTATTCTCTGGCCCTTTTCCTTTTCAGTGAGGCAGATTTCTGTAATCCTGAGATTCTCACTTTCAGACGTTCTCCAGCACACGTGTGTGCTGCTCCAGCAGGATCTGGCATGGGGACCTTGAGGTGCCAGGGAAAGGGGCCAAAGTTTCAAAATTATTTTAGCTCGTGATACAAATGTCCCCAAATGCAACACATAATTCTCAAGCATCCCCACAGTCATGAAATTTTGCTGGCCTCTTCTGTGTTGCTGTTACATGTTGAAATCACTCAGATTTCCAAATCCTTCTCTTCCATAAGAAGGGACTCTTGAAAAATCTCTCTCTTTAGGGTCAAATTCACACATGATTTCCCTTACCCAGGGTCTCTCTGGACCTACCCATTGCCTCTTTCTCAGCTTGGAGCAAGCTCGGGCTTCCCTAGGACAACTTGGGACAGTTTCTTTTGCTTCTTTGAGGATTTGCTTTGTTATGCAATTGGTCTTATCTACATGAGTAAATAAATTAGTAGAGTCTAGAGTTTGACTACTAAAGTAAAACCAGAAATAAAACAAAATAAAACCAGGAAAACCACACAGAAGAAAGAAAAAAAAAAGCAAATGTCAATCATGATTCTGCTATCAAGAAATAGCCACTGTTTGTAATTTTGGTGTGTGGATATATTTATTTGAAGATAGTTATTATCCTCAAAAGAACTGGGTGCTGTGCCATAAATCTATAATCCCAGCTACCTGGGTGGCTGAGGCAGGAGGATTGAGAATTCAAGGCCACTCTGTGCAACATAGCAAGATCCCTATCTCAAAAAGAAAAAGAAAAAAAATCATAGAACATATTAGCATAGACTTTTGTTGCCTATTTTTCACTTTATGCTATAAGCATTTCCTCAGTCATGAGCATAATTCACAAACTTTTTCATAGTTCATTTTATTATGTACTACAAAGTGCTTAGCCATATATTTAATGTTAGGAGACAATCTAAATATAGTTTCTGATGATGTATCCATCATCATAGGTATGTAGAAGAATGCTAGGGTATGTAGTGAATTCTTGGTAAATGTTAGCTTGGCAAATGTTTTCATTAATGATAATTTTGATGTAGTTGCAGTTAGGATATCAAGAGAAGTGGTACTTGGTTGTTCCTTGTAGGAACATCCTTGTGTAGGCCATCACATCAGGACATGGACAGCATCTGTGGGCATTTCCTTTCTGCACAGAGCAGAGAGAACACCCTTGGGAGTGTAATTTTAGCTCCTTCAGCACGTTGTGCTTTGGCTTTTCCAAGCTGAGGTCCATCTGTTCCAAGCTCAGAAGCCTTGATTGGTTCTGGGCTTTCTTGCTGAATAGGTAGAGTTAAGAACCTGAAAACAAAAAACAAAAAACAAAAAACAAACCTTCTCTTGAATTTGGTAATCAGGTTAAGACACATTCCTTTTGTGGCTCATAGCCGCATTAAACTGGAACCATCATTCTCCTGATATCACTTGAGACACTTCAAAGAACCGCCTTGCCCAACCCCAAAAGGTAACATTTTGATGACAGGGAGAGATTTTTTTTTTTTTAATCAGAATGCGAGGGAGATGTGTGATAGGAGAATTCCAGAAGTAATCCCACTGAGAATGATTGGAAAATGCACCAGGCAGAGGTTAGATGGGAGATACTAGTAGAGGATATATGGAATTAGGAAGGTGGCGGGGCTCATACGATGTGAAGCAATAAGCAGAATAAAATTGGCGAAGAGAAAAAAATGGCGAAGAGAAAAATAAGAAAGGATCAGAAATGGAGGATGAATTCAAATATGACTGCTGAACCCACCCACTTCTACCATTCCCCTCTGGGTAGTGCCTTTTATATATTCATCAGCGTATTTGTTCACTGAAACTCTCCTACATACCCTAAACTAACTAACTCTCTCTCTCTCTCTCTCTCTCTCTCTCTCTCTCTCTCTCTCTCTCGTGAATCACCATCAAATATTGACAAGGAACACCAATTAGAATAATTAACTTAGCAAATGTCAAATATATATGATTTGTGTGGAGTCACATGAAATTGACATCTGAAATGACATAATGTACCACAACATAAAACATTACTCTCCAAACACCTTAAAATTAAAAGCAAATGTTTGCATTGGATCCCATTGGTCCTATCAGACCAGTTGGCATATCTATGGTCTGTCTGGGCTTAGTCCTTCCTGGAGATATTTAGGGCAGTTGTTTATAGGACATTCTCATGTTCTTGACCTGGTGTTTTATTCTGGTTATTATTCTTGACATGATTATTATTTGGATGTTGACTGGAAATTGCTCTTTTTATTATAGTTCTTTCATCATTTGGACTAATTTCTCTAAATAAATTCCTCATTTCCTGGTTGTTCATGCCTCTTTGGAAACAGATAAAATATCTTTACACAGAGAACAAACCAATGCCAAATTTTGTTTTAAAAAAGGAACAATATTTAATTTTCTGTTATATAACTTTTGAGATGCTCCAAAGTATAAAACTTTACCTTGGTCTCATAAATATTTGAATTAAAGCTATTTCAGGGTGATGAATTCATTGGAATTTCTTAAATGTACTAAATGATGGGCTCTGTGATTTATATTTTTTCCAACTTTAGATTTTTGTATTTGATAAAAATATAAGAATCTTGTATTTCTAGAAAACTTGCAAAACAAATCTGCAAACATTGATCAGTAACTTGTTTCCTGACACTTGTAGACATTCATCTGTTTGGCAATTCTGTTTTTTTTTTTTTCTTAGCAAATATGTGAGAGTTGAATATCGTAATTATCTTTAGAACTATGGGTAACATTTAGTATATCATGCTTCTGAATTTTTCCAGTTGGTTAAGTGGAACTAATACTAATGTTTTAGTAGTGTCATTTGCTAGTTGCCATTTTTAGTTATGCACTTAATTTGCCCTTGTTTATGTCAGTTATGAAGTAAGGCTAGCTCTTAATGGCCTGAGTTTAGTTTCCCTTATCTAAAGAAGCACATGGAGGTTACAAATGGAGATGCCTTAAAATTTCAGAGATGTTATAAATAACTTTTAAATATAAAAGCACCAGAAGTAAAAATGAGTCAAACTTTTTATAACAACCCATTTTTTTTTAAAGTTGATTTCCCTTAGCACATCTCTGTTATGGCCTCCCTTACCCGTATTTATTGCAGGAACCCCTGATTTCTCTGAATCCTTCGCTTGGTTGTGACCCTGCTTTTATCTTTCACTCATCCGCAGAGCCTGGCGTTTGCACGGTATTCGGAGATCCCCACTACAACACTTTTGACGGACGGACATTTAACTTTCAGGGGACATGTCAGTACGTTTTGACAAAAGACTGCTCCTCCCCTGCCTCGCCCTTTCAGGTGCTGGTGAAGAACGATGCCCGCAGGACCCGCTCCTTCTCCTGGACCAAGTCAGTGGAGCTGGTGCTGGGCGAGAGCACCATCAGCCTTCAGCAGCACCTCACCGTGCGCTGGAACGGCTCGCGCATCGCGCTCCCTTGCCACGCACCGCACTTCCACATCGACCTGGACGGCTACCTCTTGAAAGTGACCACCAGAGCAGGTGGGGCTTCTGTGGCCTCCTTCTTACTTACCTTACCATCGCCAGCGGCAGCAGGCCCTGGTTAGAGCGCCCCTCCTGCAGGAGGGGAACCCAGAGGCAGAAAAGTGTTCTGACCTCACCTGCCTCCTCCTTGCCCATGGGAAAGGCACATCCCCAAGATGCCACAGAATGACCCAGGATGTTTGTACCACGTGGATCCTTGCAATTAGACGCCAGTCTTGCAATCTCTGACATCCAGAACCCTTTCCATCCTCATTCTAAAAATAGCCGTTGTACTCATCAAATAACCTCTCTCAAGTGTTGTGGCTATTTTAGGCCGTTAATGTTCAGCTTGGAATTGTCAGCATCTCTCCCAGCTCAGCGAGTTATGCATAACAGTTTCACATCTGTGAGAAAGAAGGTTTCCTTGTTAGCCTGTGTCCAAGAAGTAAGGCGGGAATCCTCAAAAGTAAATAGCTTAGTGTCAGTGGTGTTTAAAAGAAACATAAAATGTCCACATCAGAAGAGCTGATTCTTGCATACTTTTGCTATATACACAGGATGCCGGGTGCCTTCATCCCGCTGGGTTATCCTATGTTAAGGAAAAAGAGGCTGCTGCCTGTGAGTGTGCAGATGGGAGTGGGGGGTGACCAGAACCCTATATGAACAGCATATAACCCTATATGAACCCCTAGGGAAGGCTACTCAATGAATTGATGGCCCAAACCATTGTCTTTTGTTAGAGAATACTTAGGAGGCTTGCTTTGAAAGTTCACCCTCAGCTGGGGCTTGGGCACATGAAGCTGGTGACTGAGGTCCTCTCTTAGCATCCTCTGTTGCCTTATGCCCACTGGATTGCATTTGTACTCCATGATCAGATTTGTTCCCACTAGGCCACTGTTCATGGCTGCTAGTGATCTCTGAGGCTCAAGTCTTTGTCTGATAGGTGCTACCTAAGAAAAACATTTTAGAAGAGGAATTAGGTTCCTGATTTTCAGCCCTAGAGAATGAATTCAGCTTATTTGCACATTTCATGACATTATGAATGGTTCCCACCTTTGGTTAACACATGTTGTTAGTTAGTTGGATGTTGGGTTGCATATTCTCCTGTGCACTCTTATTTCTTTAAGCATGAAACTTCAAGGAAATCAGCGAACTTTTGCTTTTGCATTGGAGAGCATTTAACAGTGTAAAGGCATCAACTGAGTGAGTTCTAGTATTTTTGGACAATGTAGATTCAAAAGGGAACCATTTGATAGAATAGGCATTTTTGAGGGTCCATAGAAACTATGTCTGCCATACCTACAAGACCCTGGTAATTGTTTCAGTTAAGGCCAGAATATATTTTGACAAATTGATTTGAGCCTATGGCATGCCAGTTTAGCTGAATAAAGGCAAGAAGCCAAGAAAAGTCTAGGGAGCTTTCAGTTAGTGAATATATCATAGTTTCAGTGAGACAACTCTAAGTATTTATGTATTGGAGCATTCAGTAAAAGGGAAAAATTCCCATTCTTTACTTTGCAGATGTGAAGAGGTCTAATGATTCAACTTTAAAGACATTAGTCTTGCTCAGAAAAATCCAGACACCTGTTCTTGTATCCAAAAGACATGGTGCTCTGCAAATATAGGCCCGAGTTAATTTCTTTAAAGGAGACAAACACTTTTTGGCTCCCTATAAAACATGTACAAGATGACCCATTATTACATAGCACTAATTAGAAGCACCTTGTCTTTCGTTTTCAAGTCATCACAAACACAGTGAAGTCTACTGATATGGGAATTATTAGTCAGCCACAGCCCAGTTCTCAAAGGAATCCTGGGTACTTGAAGATTACTAACAGCCTAGGAGGTTCAAATCTGTTCCATGCTCAGCTGGCAAAATGTGATGGAATAAGTGTACTCTTTGTCAGGATTCCATGTCATAAAAATGAGCAAAAGGATGAGACTGCTAAGAAAATAATAATAGGCCATAAATACCATAATTCGATTAGTAAATTCAACTATTCTAGGCCTTGAACTCAGTCTTACAATTTATTTTTCCATCTATGTTTCCACGATGTAAGTCATTTTTATGGCATGCCTAACACTCCAGATGAACGATTTTCTGTAGTGCACAAATTCACGAGCTTGTTTCCTAGGAAAGCGCTGCATTCCTCTGGGCACTAAACTTATCCTTTCAATGACACAACTCGATTTCTAGACAGTAGTGTGTGCACCCAGGTCTAACCATCTTAGTTTCAACTACCCCTTAGGGACATTTCCTTTTTTTATCAACTATCGATCATCTATTTAAAATATCACAGTATTTCTTTAGGGTATTATTCCACCAGATTTTTGTTTTATTTCATAAAATCATGTGATCAAAGGGTACTGTCTTCAAAATAGGAGCTTAAATCAGGCCTGTAGCTGGGGGATGGAAGATGGAGAGGCCTGTCTTTTGCCCCTGTGGTTTATGGAATCAGCACTTCATGATGCTACATCCATCAGAGTAGCACAGGTGGCCAGGGAGATTGGGTGGAATTAGGCTAACAAGTGGGCTATGACAAGGCTTGGTGGGTTAAGCATTATCCACCTCCACCACACACCCTGCCCCAACTCTCGACACTTAGCAAATAATTTAAAAATATATTTCCTTTCTGCCAACTATGTACTACATCATCTCTACCTGGAAGAGGTATATCAGCTCTGCCTGAAATCTTTAACACACTGGAAAGCAGCTTTTTATTTTATTCTTGGTATTTCTCTATAGTTTTTGAAGTGAAACAATGTATTCTATTCCTATCCCGTTGGTATAAAATCTGAGCAGGAAAAAAATATCCATTTTCACACATTACTGTGATATGTCTATAGATTTTGCATCTCTTCTCCCCTTTGAGTGGACAGCAGCAAAAGCATCAATAAGCAAATCAAAGCAAACAAACACCTCCCAAAGGAAAGAATGACCACACGAACAACAAACCCAGCTTGTGGTCTTGTCTACTCTTCTTGAGGGTGAGGAGTAAGTTGGTAAAGCAGTTACTCAGAGAAGGGGAAATGGGAAGGTCATTCCTAAAGTGGAAGGAATGCAGCTGCTGCTCACATCCCCAGATGGGACATATGCTTCAGCTTTAGCCTTCTGACTCTGCCAGTTATTTCTACCCAATTTCCCATGCAGAGAATTGGCCAACTCAACCCAGCTGCAGAAAGGACTACCCACAGCCCCGTGAACACTTCCATGATGGTTTCCTCTCATAAGATCCTTAGTTAAAATACATTCCCTCAATTACAACTTATTAGTATTTTTTCCTTTCATGACTGCAATCAACTTTGTGTGGATTTTACTCTCAGAGGGCAAAAGGACTCATGCGGACACATATGTAAGTGATACAGAGAGAGTCAAAGTCATCCCAAGTCAAATAAGTCATTTCTTCCCAGTGTGAAGCCTAGCATTGTTCTGTAAAAATCTTCTTAAAATAATAACAACAAGGAGATTGAAAAAGAGAATGAATAACAAATTATTCTCTTACTTTGGAGACCATGTTTTTATGAATGAGTTGTCATGGGTTTTGAGGAGTGTTTACCTAAAACACAGTGGGTCTACAACTTTCCAAGCATGTGTGGACCACCAGTCCACTAGAAAGAAAGAACACAATGATTGATTTGTTCACTGTGAGTTGAATTCCAATGAACTCAGTTGCCCAAAATCTCAAACTTACTATATCATTGTCAGTAATGATATTGGAGTTCCTTTGGGTGTAAAATTCTCAACTATTTGTGGCACTTGGAAGAATAGTATTTGCCTGCTGTCTAGGAAAGAGATTTGTAGTTTGGAAAATTTTGCAACATGGAAAAGTCTTTGGAATCATGCTCTAAAAGTTAGACTTTGTTTGGAATTGATTTTCTCCCCTCATTTCTCTTGCTGAGTAACTGCCCGGCTACAGGCTTGTGAGGTCAAGTTTCTTCTATACCTTGGAGAGTGTATTACAAATCATTTTATAGTTTGTTTGCCTTCTTTCAAAATGGTTATTTTAGTGTCTTAACTAGCATGAAACTTACAATTTCTTTGGTTTTGCAGATTCAATGCATCACCATTACAAGGGTAATTTATTCACTTATTAAGTATGTACTGTGTGCCAGATAATGTATTAGTTAATGGAGTATAAAGAAAGAGAAATTGTTTCATGTGAAAGTTGTGGTTGTCAGAATTGACACCACTTTCTCACAGAGATCCATGTTGGGAGGTCAGCCCGGGGTGTGGATGTCTTAGCAGTGTGTCCCTTCTCTCCTTACCTGGCCCCCTTAGTGTCTTCTCTTCATTATGCTACTCCCAGGAAAACATTCCCTGTGGCCGCCCTTTTCCTCCTTTTTCCAGATCTATTTAATTGCTTTTCTGAATCCAGCCTGTTTCTCCTAACCAAGAAATCTTCTCTGTCATTCACCTTGGAGTAAGAATGCTTCTGTTCCTTCCACTTACCACCCAGTGATTTCCTTATGGGCCGTTCTGTTTATTGCTCAAGAAGCCCAGTTTTAGACCACTAGTCTATTTTACCAATAATTCTCCCTGAAGTAACTGTCCTGTGATGGTTGTGTGGGCTTCTCACTGGAAAGAGTTTTGGGCAGCCATTTCTCTTCTCAGACTGTGTTCAGACTTAGCTTAAGAATCTTACCTCTGAGTGTTTCTTCCTGAGCTCACTTCCATTACTCTAATATTTTTGCCATATGCCAATTTCACATACCAACAAGAGCCATTCTCAGTCTCTCTCTCTTCACCCTCCTTTTCCCTCTCTTCCCCTATTTCTCCTGTCCCCTCACACCTCATCCCCCAACTCTGAACATTTGCTCATCAGGCTAATCTTGAGCTTTCAGTATAAAAGACAAAGCCTTTGAGGAGAAAAGACAATTTTCTCTTTTCAGAGGCTCACAACAGGTAAAATAAAAGACTAGTTTTGTCAGGAACCCAAAAGGGTAAAATTTTTAAAAAATCAGCAAAGAATTTTTTGTAAAAAAGAGACTTCCTTTGTGGTTGCTACTCTTGGGAGACAGTGACAGTGACTAAGGAGAAGTCTCAGTGTAGAAATGCACATTGACCTGTTGTAGTTGTTCCCTAGAGCTCATGCCATGGGTTGCTCTTGGGCATTCCCTGGTAAATAGTGCCATCATCCACAGGAGGGCTCAGGCACTGCCAGGGGATCATCATGAGAACAATTAAGAAAAGATTCCAACACACACAAAAGAAAGGAAAACTAGGAAAGATAGTCATTTACTTTGGGTTGAACCTTAAAATGCTTTCACAAACACCTCCATCTTGCGACCAGTGTCTCCATGCAAAACATCAGAGTGGAGTTGAGAGTGTTTCTTCTTATTCAAGCTTAGCTGTGCTCTGTGACATAAGCTGGCTGTCCTACATGAGACTAGAAAAATGCCCCCACTCAGAGTAATCTTTGGCTAGAGTGGCTCCGGGAACTCTTGGGCCAGTATATCTAGAGAAATATGCATGTTTTTAGACAAACCCTCCAACATTTTAGATAATTAGTTCAGCAAACCCAGAAGGGTCTTTGGTCATCTGCCTCCTGGGGTGAAGACAGTGTCCTTGATGAACAAGGAAGTACTGGCCTAATGATGGATGCACAAGAGGAGCTTTTGTCCATGGCCTGGAAACCTCTAGTGCTGCCTCAAATGCTGAAACTCATTAGTGTTCTTGCATTGGAGGCCCCAGAGATGGACGGTGTAAAGATTTCCCAACAACTAAACCCCAGGAAACATGGGTCAGAAGCTCATGTCTCAGGAATAAAAATAAAATAATGAAGGAGCACATGTTTGCATTAATGTGTCATCCCTTGAGGAGGATGTATTCAGAAGCTATCTATTTATTGCTTTAATATCCTGTGGTATTTGGAGTAAATACTTACATGGAGGAATTTTTGGATAAAGAAACAAAAATAACATAAGGAATTATAGTCTTTGTTTCTTTCTGTTTCCACACTATAGTCATTGGATAAAGGAAGCACAATTTGGACTAACATAATTACTTTAGAAGAGGACAAAAATATAAACCTCAGAGTAGGGTGATCAAACCAGGGGTACATAGATATTTTAAGAGCAAACTTCATTCAATTTAAAAATCCTAATCCCCCAAAATAAGTGATTTATGTAATTCATAAGACATTTAATGTGGTCAGATCAAAATGTAACCAAGAATTTGGATAGATTCGAAGTGTTCCTTGTTAGAAGACGATGGCTGTATCTACCAAGTAAAGCTATGGACACATGGGAATTATCGGGAGATTCAGGAGTGGTTGAACTCCCTTCTCCCCTTCTTCTCCTCTAGGTTTGGAAATATCCTGGGATGGAGACAGTTTTGTAGAGGTCATGGCTGCCCCTCATCTCAAGGGCAAATTGTGTGGCCTGTGTGGCAACTACAATGGACACAAACGTGATGACTTAATTGGTGGAGATGGAAACTTCAAATTTGATGTGGATGACTTTGCTGAATCTTGGAGGGTGGAGTCCAACGAGTTCTGCAACAGACCCCAGAGGAAACCAGTTCCTGAGCTGTGTCAAGGGACGGTGAAAGTAAAGCTCCGAGCCCATCGGGAATGCCAGAAGCTCAAATCTTGGGAGTTTCAGACCTGCCACTCAACAGTGGACTATGCTACTTTCTATAGGTAAGTACAATGTTCTGGGAATGGGGTGGGGTTACGGATCTAGGATAGACTTGATCTTGGAATAGAGTTTGTCAAATCTCCTGCTATGCAAAACAAGGCCTCTCAAATTCTTTCTTTTCAGTAGCTGATCTTGTCTTGAGTCAGCTTCACATGATGTCCCATTTGGGAAATTCCAGAAAGTGTTCTAGGGCAAACTTCTAGGCCACTCTATAGTTTTGTGTGTCTACAGATTTATGGAAAAGCTGATGACACCACAGGGCTTTTCCAGGGTGTTAGCTTGACCCTAAGATTATGGAGGGTTTCCCAAGTTCTGGCCTAAACCACAGTGATATAGGGCAGAGATGATTTCCTCAAATGGAATCTCAAATCACTCTGGCCAGCTTTGGGGGTTTGCATAAACTCTGTTATTCTAGGTCTGAGAAAGAGTTCAGGTCAGCCTCATGGCCTCGTCCAGACCAAATCTGCACAGGGAAAATAAGGAGCTTGAGGTTGGAGAAAGGAAGGGCTCTCACCAATAGTCAGTTCCATGACCTCTTTTGACTCTGTTTAGCTACCTCCTACACAATGCAACTGGCTACAAAGACATCTTGAATTTGACTTCCGTGCCACAAGATTGCGTTTGTGAGTTGATGAGTTTGGCCTGGTTGTACTTCCATTTACTGCACAATTCCACAGGTTCAAGGGCTATGGCTGCCTATAGCTTTAACCACGATGGGTGGGGCAGGAAACATGAGCCGAACACAGCCCAAAAGGCCTTGTTTAAGTGATTTGCCTGTGCCTCTTAAAATTAGGAAACTCCTGTGGTCTACAACCACAGAGAGGTTATTTTTACTCTTTAATTGCCACCAGTTTATTTCCCCTAGCTCTCATTAAATGTGATATTTTTTAATTTGATCTTTGGACATAAAAGATAAAGCTCTATAAAGGCAGCTTAAAGTGGGGTGGAAAAAAGACCATCCCTGTCATCACAAATCCACGAACATGGCTGCATCTGCCAAACCATTTGGCTCCAAGTCATACATTTAGCTCTTTCAAGACATTTTCCTGCTATAATTTGAGTTCTCCGGGTTCCCTTCTTTCTCCTCCTTGCATTCCCTCTCTACATGGGCCACATCCCTTTTCTACTGAAATCGAAGGATCTGAAGGTGAGACTAAGTGAGTTAACTGCTTGGAGAAACCTGGCTTCATTTAGAATTAAACATCTTCCCTTGAAGTTCTGATAGGAAGCTGTAGAGTACAGCAATTAGAGTTATGAGGTTTCCCAGAACTTGAAACTCAGACAGGTTGTACAACCTTGAACAGTTACCCGAGCTCTACAAACCTCAGTTAGCCTATCTGTGAAGTGGGGATAACAAAGGAAGCTGCCTTGAAGGATTGCCACTCAGATTGAGTGGGATGGCCAAAACATGCTCAGCAAAGAGCCCACACATATTGAGCGCTCCCTAATACCTCACTGCTGCGTCCAATAGCACTTAAATAACAAACAAGAAGAAGGCCTCTTTTGGAAGCTCTTCCATTACACTCACAGATTTGGATTGGATTCTTCTCTGTTTAAAATAGAGTGGAAAGGCTGTGCTTCTCCCAGAGCTTCTGTTGTCTACCATTGGGTTTTTATCTCATTTCAGAAGATTGTCATGAAACAAAAATTGGAGAGCAGGCCTGCAGAGATTAGTCCCTTTTTCCAAATTTCTATTGCTTTGGCATTTGGTGATTTAATTAGTGCTGTGATCCTTGGACTACTGCAAGAATATGATGAATGTCTTGGCAAAAGTTGTGAGAAGCGATAACTTTGACATGCATGAGCAGAGAGGATGGCGGTCACTTCTGCCCTTTAAAGGTGCCACAGAAACTACAGATACACAGTGGAAATTGCTCATATGAGTTAGGGGCTTGATGCCCAGTTTGGGAAGCTCTTGAGCAAGCTCTTGGGATTTAGTGCATGTAGGCTCAGAGGCTGGGATGTGGGCTTGTGCTGTGCTCATCGGTGGCACCGTGTAGCAGCAGAGTGTCCTCCAAAGCCTTCCACCCTTTCCTGGGAAGGACAGAGGCACTCAAGAAGGGAGAACTAGACTGCAGGGCAGTTCTGTCTCCCATATACCCTGCTGCTGATCTCAGTGTCCAATAAAACAATGCTTTCTCAAGCATTTTGAAGTGAAGTGGTTCACCTTGGGCAGACCCTGGAATTTTCTCCTTTCTTCCAAACACTTATGCAGCAGGAGAAGAAAACCAACAGGGTGCTGTATAGAAAGGTGATTCTCTTCTCAAGGGAGCTCCAGGAGAATCAAATATCTGGGATTCTAGGGTCACTTTTTATGAAGCAATGAATTGAGAAGGAGACCCTGGTAAAACCAGACTGTACCCAATTCCGAGTCTGCTGCTTTCAATTTGTGTGACCCTGAGGCTCAGCTGAGTTCCAGATCTTTTATCTCTAGCATCTGTGTGACAGTGACTACCTGGAGTCCATGGACAGTGGGCTATTGGTGTTTGGGTGCCCTTGTCCTGCACTCCTGTCTTCCAAGGGCAAATTCAAACCCCTTCCCCCAGCCACTTACATTTCTGCTTGTTGACCTCTCCCACTTTCATCATGGACAACTGATCTGCTGACCCTGATGCTCTGTGTGACCCTAATCCAAATAAAAAATATGACATCACAGACATGTGCATTTTTGCTCATGTATTTAAAATAATTGAGGGAATTTGTAAAAGGAATCTGAAAATATGCTCAGGACCATGGCTGAGATGTATTTTTTTCTCAGTCCTTACAGGACTAAAGAATATTATCTTGATATCATGAACAGACACATACATAGGTAACCTTGGAGTTTGATTCCTTTTATTTTTCCCCTCATCCTTCAAAGAAATGTCTACATTTTTCTTTAAGGACAAAGAATAAAGTAGTTAAACATATTCATACAACTTTTCAAGCCGCTTGTGTTTGCAACAGAGAGAAGGGAGGCAGTAAGGAGGGTATTTCTGTGTACAAATATTACCGATTTGGGGTTTCCTTAATCAGATGACACATTCCACTAGGCAAATTCTATTACAAATATAACACTTTTTATAGGATCAAAATCATAATTCAGATTCCTCTGAGTTAGAGTTCACTTTTGAAATGTCTAGAGTTTATAACTCTTACTTTGCTCTTTTATATAATTCAACATTTTTAAATAGAAAACTGGCCATTGTCAAAATACTTGAAAAACTACCATTTGTCAGTGAATAAGAAATGGTTACAGGTGAGTCAATAGCTTTTTTTTTTTTTTCAGGAACTTTTTAAGATTTGCTGACTTTTAAAATTTGCATATCAGTTTGACCCCTCTTGACTAATTTGGTATAAAAACATGACATGACCAAGTTATTTGTAATCAGAATAATTTCCTTTAATTAACCCATTGATTCTGTGGGGGCGCAAAATAATTTAGTAATGAATCACATAAAAATGCTGACTTTGTTGATAGCATGTTTTAAGTCTCAGCTTTGCTAATTGCCTTTTCCTTCAATTAAATAATCCCCTTTAGCAATTTTGCTTTCATTCTTCTTTATTGGTGTGCTATGGGAAATTCCTGCTGGCTACAGGGGTAGTATACTATGGCTATATTAATGTGAAGTCATTTGGATGATATATGATTGACTTGCAGGCTCCTCTGAGGAGAAAGTGTTGATGGTGTTCCTGTCTCTTTTCTCATTTCTCATTTTCCTTTCCCTCCCTGAGTCTCATACTGCTTCTCCTTTGTGTCCTAGTTGCCAACTGAGGAGTCTAAAAGGGATTGAGATCCTCAGGAGCCAATATCAAACCCATCTGCCTGCTTCTGCCTTAGGCCCAAGGCACAGAGGCTGGGAGGTGGCTGGTGCTGTGTGGGCCAAGGCGGGGACCTGGAGGGCCTTCTATTCCTTGTGCTTGCAAAGCACCAGCTTTGGGCTTTCCGCCTAACTCAGATGCACATCTCAGATGACACAGTTCCAACTGAGTATACCCTGCCAGTAAAGCAGGACTCTTAAGTCAGGGCAGGACCACATTGCAGAGAAGTCAGGACAGTGAAGGCGGAGTGTGGTGAAGCCCAGACGTTCAGACTGCCGGCCTCTCCGCACTGCTGTCCTCCCGCACTCTCCTTAATGGGTTGTAATTCACCAGAGCAACAATTCTGTTCACTTGTTCGGTTTGGGAAAGTGTCTGGGGATTCCCAGTCTAGGAAATGTTCTTTTCTTTCCATGCAGTGGTTTTTACAGCTGTAAGGAATTGAAGTGACGCCAGAGGATTCACAGATGTGTCCTTTCCTGCTGAGGTACAGGGAGGTAGGAGACAGGAGGTAGCAGAGGAGAACATTGGAACAGGGACAGCCACAACGGTGTTGGATATACTGGGATCCTGGGACTGCCAGTGGCTTTCTTCCAGGGGAAGATCACAGCCTTCCTGAATAACCCACTTTGTGTTCCCTGTGAAGGAAGCTAATCATTTATTGTAAAGCAAGAGGAGAAGATCCAGGCAAGGAGTGCAGACTTTCTGTGCCTGTGTGAGAGAATCAAAACTTACTGCTGTTCTCTAATTAAAATCGAGTCAATTTACTTCAAAGAAGGACATGCTTGGAACATATTTGTTTACTCTTTTAATTACCTCGTTGAGACCAACCTCCACTAGAACTAGAGTTCTAAATCAAATGAAGCGTTTATTCTAAAATGTGACATTATAGGGCTTACTTTTTATTTTTCCTTTGGCTGACTCAGCTTTTAAGAGGAGTTGTTACCCTGAATCTGTAATTAAGGTATGCTGACACCAGGTGGCAGTAGACACCTCAGTTGTACCACCTACCAGACTTCAGCTCTGAGAAGTTCAGTTTTAAAGTTCAAAATATCCTTCCTACTAGTTAGTGCTTTCTCTTTCTTTTTTATTTAATATTTATTTTTAGTTGTAGTTGGGCCTAATACTTTTATTTTATTTATTTATTTTTTTATGTGATGCTTAGGATTGAACCCAGGACCTCACAGGTACTAGGAGAGTAATC